GGCGGGGTGGGCCTGTAGCTCAGAGGATTAGAGCACGTGGCTACGAACCACGGGGTCGTGGGTTCGAATCCCTCCTCGCCCACAACTGGTCCAAAAGTTAAATACTTTTTCCTCTGTGGGTAGGACAATAATGATTGGGATAATGAACCCAATTTGATGCGGGTGGGTAAGGTTACTCTTTATGCTAAACGCGAGCCATCTTATCCTGATTCGAACTTCTGTTATTTAGAATCACTCCCCAAGTAGGATTCGAACCTACGACCAGTCGGTTAACAGCCGACCGCTCTACCACTGAGCTATTGAGGAAGAAAAGGAGATTCAAATGAATCGAGTTAAATTCCTGTTCTCAATGCAAGACCACTATAGACGGGGTTAATTCCCGTCGTTCACCCATAACCCGAATTGCTGTTTCGTTTCGATAAATTCTATAAATAAGAAAAGTCCAATAAACTTCATTTCATATAAAACCTATTTTGAATTCCATATAGTAGAATAGTAAAAAAATCATAGTATAAGATGTGAAGACAAATCTACTAGTTTATTGTTTGATAATATCAAAAAAATTTTATTTTAATTAAGGAGCTTTTTATGTTTATAGGTTCTGATTTATTCTTGAAGGTACTCAATTCAGTCGTTGTAGTCGGACTTTATTATGGATTTCTTACCACATTTTCAATAAGGTCCTCTTATTTATTCTTTGTGCGAACTCTGGTTCTGGAAAAAGAAACAAATACAAATAATAAGGTAGCAGCAACCACTGGTTTTATTATGGGACAGCTCATGAGATTCGTATCCATCTATTATGCGCCCTTTTATCTAGCTTTGGGTAGACCTCATACAATAACTGTCCTTGCTTTACCTTATCTTTTGATTCAGCTTTTCTTGAACACTGAAAAAAAAATTTTTGCTTATGGATCTAATAACCAAAATTCGATCCGTGAGCTAGAGAATATCTTTGTATTCCTCAATCATCTTATTTTTCAGTTGCTTAACACTTGCATTTTACCAAGTTCAACGTTAGCCCGATTAGTAAGCATTTATCTGTTTCGCTGTAATAATAAGATGTTGTTTGTAACAAGCAGTTTGTTTGCTTGGGGAATGGGACAAATTTTAGTCATAAATTGCTTGGAATTTTTAGCAGTCTGGATACAGAAAAATAATGTTATTAGGTCGATCATTCGAAAGTACCTAGTGAGAAATTCTATATTTTTTATTTTAGTAAATTATAGTTTTGGAACTCTAGTATGTATTCTAAGTATTCAGTCTTTAGGCAGAACACCCTTACCTATTCCTACTCAGAAATTTAGTGAGGTCTCAAAAATAGAACAAAGGGAAAAGGAAAGGTTGCAAAGGGAGGAAGAAAAAGACGTAGAAAAAAAAAAGAAATCCGCTGAAAAAGATCCTTCCCTTTTTTCCGAAGAAAAAGGTATTTTGGAAAAAGAATTGGACTTGAAGGTAAATGAACCAGACTTGGAAGGGTCTGATTCCGAATTGGAAATCCTTGAAAAAAATGAAAATAAAGAACATATTGTGGCTCTTCTTTTTGATTATAAAAGATGGACTCGCCCATTTCGTTACATAAAAATAATAGACTTGAACAAGCTGTAAGAAACGAAATGGCACAATATTTCTTTGACATACATAAAAGTGATGGAAAAGATAGAATATCTTTTACCCATCCGATAAGTTTATCAACGTTTTTTCAAATAATCAAAACAAAGATACCCCTTTTGTCACTAGAAAAAGATATTTCTAATACATTGGACAATTTTTGGGTTTCTAGAAACAAACAAAAATTAAATTCTATAAAAATTGATTTGCTAAATCGAATTAAAAATCTTGACAAACCAGTAGCAGTTCCAATAATCGAAATTGAAACAAACAAAACGCGATTATGTATACACAATGATGAGACTAGAAAAGAATACTTACCAGAAAAGTATGATCCCTTGTTAAATGGGCCTTCCCGCGGAAGAATAAAAAAAGATATCACGTCGATAAACGATACTTCGATCAAAAAGTTGAGAGAGAAGGTTATGCTAAATAGACTTCATGCTTTATTGTTGATGTCTACTTTTGAAAAAAAGGAAAAAAAACCATTACAAGTTGGTGAGTTCTCAACTTTATCATCAAGTTTCAATTTAACGGATTCAGAACAACTAACAAAATTTTTAGTAAATGCAATTGAGACAGACGATAAAAAATCTTCTGCAATAGAAAAAATAGGTAAAGAAGAAATTGGTAAAAAAGTCCCCCGATGGTCATACAAATTAATAACTGAATTGGAACAAATATCGTATTTTACAAATCCACCAGATGATCATGATATTCGTTCAAGAAAAGGGATCAGTGT